GCCCGTTAATTTTTCGGGGTGTAGATTTAGCTGCGAGTCAGATGTCATCATTAAATCAGCTAAAGATTTTTTTTCAAATAAGTTGTGAACTGTTCAATAGACCGGGCAGGCTAGTCTTAAATGGTTCATAATAACACACTAATGCGGTGACTATTTAGTCACCGATTCAGTGAAAATATAGTTAGGCGGGGGGAGAGAGAGATAGAGATAGAGAGAGAAAGAGAAACGACACTGAGCACCAATTACACCACTATGAGCTCGTGGAAAAATACTTGCAGAAAATCCCTGAACGTGGATTGGAAGTTCTCCGCACGTCTAGAACTCAACCCGTGCGACTACCTCCCATTCACATCGCTGCAGTATAAGTGGAATAAAAGCATTATGATGATAGCGACTACTTCGAAAATGACCTTCGAGGCCTCTCTAAAAACCCCTATTTTTCACTCCGGGTTAGCGTCCGAGAAAATCTCTAGGGACAGCATCTACCAAAGTAATAGCAGTGAATCCTCATAAAAGCGTTTTCATAAATGAATGAAGTCCGGCAAGATTCATACTCGTTCTATTCCTACTCATAAGGTCATCATACACGCAATTAATGGCAATTAAATGTGAAGTGGGGGTATACACCGAAAAACGAAATTGATCGCTAACCAACATAAGCTCCACTTCAATGTGAATACGTGAAAATGAGGCAAGACAACAATCAGAAATTATGTAGAGAAAGCATACTTCAAATATCAGCCAATATGTATGTTTCCCATTTGGATTCCGAAGCCACCGTCCAATTGGGACTCTGCCCTTCAGCGAGCCAATCGTTCAGCGAGCCAATCGAAGTCATTCGGATGCATCCATGCTTCTCCCAGAGGTGCCTCAACACGTTTATCGTTGAAGATGACTCTAAAATACAAATTTGAGAAGAATCTCAGCAGTGCAGAACAATAATCGTCCACGTCTCGGATCCCAAAAGGTAGTGGATGAGCGCAACAGTCAAACCCCAACAGATCCCTTTAGGGTAACCACTAAACTACCAAGGCAGCAGAGCGGACAATCCACCAGTAATGAGTGTAGGTGAGTTTATAATTAACTTCGTACTTTCGTCGTCTATTGACTTCGTCCGCCGAAGAGATCGCAGGCACAGAGAACATCGCACTGCCAGGTCAGGACAGGAGGAGAGGCTCCACGGTGCGAGGAGGATTTCGAATTGGATGCGAGCTGCTAGCTGCCGCCGGACAGCTAACCAGGGAAGGATCCCAAGTCGAGGTGGCCGTTTGAAATGAGACCTAGGCCCGTATGCATAACGCCCGGGGTAGGGGAGGGAGAGGAAATGTTTGCCGAGGGCGCGAGTGTTCAAATGGGGTTTTTGCCTTTGTTCTGTGTCAAGATAGTTGCAATGGAGCTAAGTATTTTCCTATAAACAGGTGAAGAATCGACAGCCCTTGGTAATCATGTGATGTTTGTCTCTGCGACCTTACCTTGGCGAGAGCTCAGAGAAGCCCGACCCCATTGGCTCCCCGGGGGATGAAACTACCTCTAGAGCTGGGGCGCCGATGGTCATGGCCCGTATGCACAACTCCCGGGGTAGGGGAGGGGGAGGAAGTGTTTGTTTTCGCCGTGGGTCAGATAAGTGACGCTGGAGCGCAGTATTTTACGCTCCTAAGAGAGTGTTAAATTGATATCCGAAGCTCTATTTCTCGATTAGATGAACCGGAATTTGGAGAG